AGAACAGCTAAGGCTACACAGAGAAATAAATAAAAAAAAAAAATCAAGAAAAAATTTAAGTTTAATTTATTAATTAGTGTGTGATTGTATGTGTGCTGGCTCACGCCTGCCATAGCATGCATGTGAAGGTCAGGACAACTTTCAGGAATTGGTTCTCCTACCATGTGGGTAACAGGGACCAAACTCAGGTCATCCGTATTGGTAGAAGGTTCCTTGACCTGTGATCCTCTCTCCCACACAAAATAAGTAAATAAATGTATAAAAGGGAAATAATTAACAGGATGCCTGTCTGAACAGTCAGGTACCTGAAGTACTGAAGTACAGAGCCATAGGAAAAGTGCTTATTCGGAATTGAAGACCATTTTCTTTCTGGTTTTTTAACTTAGGGCTTTGGCAAGTTCTGTAATAATCTTGTTTGACTGACTCAGACTAAAGGTCAGTATAGTTTTATACCTCTTTTTTGCACTTTTTTTTTAAAAACAAGCTATCTTTTTTCATTTTAGATACCAATCCCAATTCCCACTCCCTTCCCTCCTCGCATTCCCTCCACCTTCCCCAGTTTTTTTTAAAATATTTATTTATTTATTATGTATACAATATTCTGTCTGTATGCCTGAAGGCCAGAAGAGGGCGCCAGACCTCTTTACAGATCGTTGTGAGCCACCATGTGGTTGCTGGGAATTGAACTCAGGACCTTTGGAAGAGCAGGCAGTGCTCTTAACCACTGAGCCATCTCTCCAGCCCCCCACCTTCCCCAGTTTTATACTTTTCAGATCATATCAGGACAGAGAGATAATGACGAAGCAGTTGGTGTGCACCCTGAGTTGTTTCTTTGGAGCCTGTATGGTGGAAGGAAGACAATCTCCCTCACATTGTCTTATGTTGCACTTCTCTACCGTACCCACACACAAACCAAATCTACGCACAATAGTTTTGTTTTGTCTTTTCAGACAGGGTCTTTCCGCACAGCCTTGGCTGTCCTCGAACTCACTATGTTGACCAGCATGTCCTCAAACTCATAGTCACCTGCTTTTGCCTCCTGAGTGCTAGGAATAAAGGCATACACTACCATTTCTGGCTTATAGATGTAAATTGAATTATTATTATTATTATTATTTTGAGACAGTCTCTTTCTGTAGTCCTGCCTGTCTTGGAACTCACTCTGTAGACCAGGCTGGTTTTGCCTCTGTTTCCCAAGTGCTGGAGTTAAAATTTTGTGTTACCCATTCCCAGCTAATAAAATTTTTTAGAAAGACTTCATTTTTAATTTTTATCTACATGTCTGTTTGTGTTTCTGTGTGGGTATGCACGTAGTACACTAGCAAACATGCAGGCACAACACCCATATACAAATTAATAATTATGTAGTATAGTTTCTCAAATGTTTTGATTTAGAGTAAGATCTGCATAAAGTTCATTTTGTTTTATATTTTTATTTTTGAGATAGGATCTTTAGCTCTGGCTGTTCTAGAACAAACTTTTTTGTTTTCTTTTTTAAAGTCTGGTATAGAGATGTGGACTTTTAATCCCAGCACTTGGGAGGCAGAGACTGGTAGATCTCTGAATTCAAGGCTAGCCTGGTCTACATAGTGAGTTCCAGGATAGCCAGAGTTACGTAGTAAGACCTTGTCTCAGGAACAAACAAGAAAGGTATTTTTTCAAATGATTCCCATTCTTTTCTTATTCCTAATATAAGTGTCATCCAAAGTGTCATAATCCAGAATGACATTACAAGGGACTGTAGACATGGGGTTTTTAAATTCGGGGAACTAAACCATCATTTACTAAAAGGGTTTAGGGATTAGAGAATATTTTTAGTCATAAACCATAATTAAAAATAATTCATGGCTTAGTGCCAGTAGGACCAGATGTATTTCTCTTCCTCTCAAAATAGAATGCAGCATTTTCTCAAATGAAAGAAATTGTTCTGTTTTACAAAACTGTAGAAGAAAATCGGTTGAGAAAGACAAATACAAAGCAAAGATATTTTTGTTATAGTTTTGTTTTTTTGAAGTAGGTTTTACTGTGTACCATGCTGGCCTCCTATTGATCTCCCTTCCTCTGGCTCCTGAGTCTGGGATTAAAGGGTTTGTCATGCGCTACCACCGCCAGCTATTTATTTATTTAAAAAAATTTTTAAATTATTTTGTGTATATGGGTCTGAGTGCAGGTTTGTGTGTTTGAGAGCAGGGCTTCTAGAAATCAGGAGAGCCTTAGATCTTCTAGAATTGGAGTTATAGATAGTTGTGAGCCACCATGTGAGTGTAGGTAATTTAACTAAGTCCTCTGCAAAAGTAAAAGTGCTGAGCCATCTCTCCAGCCCAGTAAATGTAACTTTTTTAAGGGGGGAGGTTCCAAGACAGGGTTTCAAGATGGCTGTGTAACAGCTCCTCCAGTCGTGAAACTTACTTTGTGGACCAGGCTGGCCTTGAATTCACAGAAACCTGCCTGCCTCTGTCTCCTGTTTGCTGGGATTAAAGCCATGTACCACCACGCCCGGCTTCAGTAAATATAATTTTAAAACTTGGAGGGGAAGTCTTGTTTAGCCTGATGATGTGGTTCATTCTTCTGGATTCAGTAAGGATGAATTCAACGGGATGGTAGAAGGAAGATTAAAGGTTAAAGTCAGTCTCAGCTGCATTGCTCATTGGAGGCCAGCATGAGCTAAAGGAGACCCCGATTTAAAAAAAGAGAAGTAGCTGGGAGGTGGGGGCACGCATCTTTAATCCCAGCACTCTTGGCAGAGGCAGGAAGATAACTGAGTTTGAGGCCAAGCGTGGTCTACAGAGTGAGTTCCAGCTCAGGCAGTGCGACACAGAAAAACTGTCTTGAAAACACACAATCAAAATAAATAAGTAAGTAAATAAATAAATAAAAAATAATGTTGTGAGTCAGACCTGGTGGTTGAAGCATATAATCTGGGTGACTGAGGAGGCTGAGGTAAAAGTTTAAGGTTGCCTAGGCTCAGAGTGAGTTTAAAGTTAGCCAGGGTACCAGAGAATCTGGATAAGAAAGGAGGCCTGGCAGTATATTTTTTTTTTAACATGTAGGAGTCCTTTAGTTGAATTTCAAGTATAAAATGAATGGTTGGATGAGAACTTTATTTTCCTCTTGTGCAATTTGTCATCTTTAGGCAAAATGTTTTATGGATTTCAAAGCTGGAGGCACCTTGTGTCACATTCTTGGGGCTGCTTACAAGTACAAAAATGAACAGGGGTGGTAAGTTTTTTAAAAATTTATTTGCATGTTTTAATGTGATATTACTTGATGTGAAATCATATTCTCTTGTGTATAGAGAATTCTGTAAGAATATTGTTAATGACAAGGTAAGATTTGTTTTTAAAAAATAAATTTTCTGTATTTAATTTTTAAGTCTTGTTTCTCAAGAATGTAGTTTCAGCCAGGTGTGGTGGTGTACCCTTTTCATACCAGCACTTGGGCTAAAGGCAGGCAGATCTCTGTGAGTCTCTAACCTTTTCAGACACCACAAAGAACTCACTTTGATTTTCTTACATTCAAGAAAAATTACAACTCTCTATTAGGTAAATAATAAATAATTTAGTTTTTGTAGTACTGGGAAATGAATGTAAAATTTTGTGTGTATGTACATAATGTATGTGCAGAGACCAACTGTGGAGTGGGCATTCTCCATTCACCTTTATGTGATGGAGTTGGAACTCAGGTTGCCAGGCTTGAGGAGCAAGTACTTTACCTACTGAGCTATCTTGCTGGCCCCTCTTGTTTAAATTTTTGGAGTCCTCTTATAAACATAACCAATATTTCTTAGCTTCTTTTTTTTTTTTTTTTTTTTATTGTTTTTTTCGAGACAGGGTTTCTCTGTGGCTTTGGAGCCTGTCCTGGAACTAGCTCTGTAGACCAGGCTGGTCTTGAACTCACAGAGATCCGCCTGCCTCTGCCTCCTGAGTGCTGGGATTAAAGGCGTGTGCACCATCTCCCAGCTTTTTTTGTTTGTTTGTTTTTTTTAGAGACGGTTTATCTATAGCTTTGGAGCTTGTTCTGGTACTGGCTCTTCTAGACCAGGCTGGCCTCAAACTCACAGAGATGCACCCCTTGTCTCTGCCTCCCAAATGCTGGGATTAAAAGCGTGCGCCACCACTGCCTGGCTATTCCTTAGTTTCTTTTCTGTCTTTCATCCATTTTTTTCAGGGGGTTTTTGAGACAGGGTTTCTCTGTGTAGCTTTGTAGCCTGTCCTGCCATTCACTCTGTATACCAGGCTAGCCTTGAACTCACAGAGATCTGCTTGCTTCTGCCTCCTGAGTGCTGGGATTGAAGGCATGCACCACAACGTCCCAGCTCATCCATGTTTTGATTCTGGGTAAAAATCTTGGTGTTCTTTGGAGATGACTACAGTTGAAGACCACAGTGCTGGTGTGCGCTCTGTTTCTCTGTCTCTGTCTCTGTCTGTTGTATTTGTTTAGTGGTTTGGCGTTTCGTTTGAGACAGAGTCTTACTGTATAGTCCTGCCTGGACCAGAACTCCTCCCTGTGTACACTAGGCTGGCCTCAAAAGAAACCAGCCTACTTGTCTCCAGAGTACTGGAATTAAAGGCATATACCTCCATACCCTGCCTGTGCTGGCTTTTTATCATCAACCTATAGGTTGTGGTGATTAGGCGAACAGGCCTGCTTTTCGCCCCCACTCCCCCGCTCCTACACAGCTAGCTTAACACCCGAAATAACAACACACAGATTGTATTCATTTAAACACTGCCTGGCCCATTATGTCTAGCCCCTTCTTGGCTAACTCTCACATCTTGATTAATCCATTTTTTTTAAAAAATATTTATTATGTATACAATATTCTCTCTGTGTGTATGCCTGAAGGTCAGAAGAGGGCGCAAGACCTCATTACAGATGACTGTGAGCCACCATGTGGTTGCCGGGAATTGAACTCAGGACCTTTGGAAGAGCAGGCAATGCTCTTAACCGCTGAGCCATCTCTCCAGCCCTGATTAATCCATTTTTAATAATCTGTGTAGCACCATGAAGTGGTGGCTTACCGGGAACGATTCTAGCCTTCGTCCCTCTTAGGTCTGAGGGTCGGAGAATCATGGTGACTGCCTCACTTCCCTTCTTCCCAGCACTCTGTTCTGTCTACTCCACCTATCTAAGCTGCTGTCCTATCAAAGGCCAAGGCAGTTTCTTTATTAACCAATGAAATTAACACATAGACAGAAGACTCTCCTTCATCACTAGGTCACTTTTATGGTATAATTTCTGTTTTTGTTAGATGATTCCCCTTCCCACCTGTTTACCCCTGTATGTAATAACCCATCTGGACTATTGTCAACAGGACTGCTGTAGAAATGAGTGCAGCTATTACACTGACATGTCACTGCATATACCCAGGAATGACATGTCTATCTGTGTTTTATGGTCTGGGTAATTTTAAGTTTTCGAGAAGCCATACAAAAAATTTTGCTTGTTGGTTTTGTCTTCTTTTCTTTTTCTTCTTTCTTTTTTGGTCAGTCTGATATAAGCTAGAGTTATCTGAGAGGAAGGAACCTTAATTGAGAAAATACCCCTATTTAATAGGCCTATAGCAAGCCTGTAGGACATTTCCTTTATTCATCCCTTGGTAGGTGATCTAGGGATGACAAAGGATAAGAAAGCAAGCTGATCAAGCCACAAGAAATAAGCTATCGCCTGCACTCCCCTGTTATCTCCGTTACCGTTCTTCTTGTCTTTGCTTCTGATTTTGGACTGTAACCCCTTGAACCAAATAAAACTAAAACATACACTGTTTAAATTGCTGAGCTCACTTGTTTCTTACTCTCTTCTCTCTCTCTTTTCCTTTTCACTACTTGGAACTCTACCTAGAGTTTTGAGCATACTTACCAAGTGCTTTACAGCTAAGCCCATTCTGCTTAAATTTTTTTTTCCTAAAAATTCTTGTTTATTTATTTTATTTGTTTGTTTTTTGAGATAGGGTTTCTCCGTTTCACAGCCCCATCTGTCCTGGAACTTTTCTGTAGACCAGACAGACTTAGGACTTGGAGAACTTGCCTGCCCTTCCTTCTCTTGTGAACCAGTATACCTGATTTAAAAAAGTTTTTAAACAGTCTCACTATGTTGCTAGACAAACAGACATAGTTTCACTAAGTTGCTAGACAGACAGACAGATGGGCAGGCCTTGAGTTTATATCACGATGCCTCTGTCTTCTTGAGAAGTCAGGATGTAGTCCTGAGCCACTAGGTTTAGCCTCATTAACATTTCTTCCAACGAATTAAGAGTTCTGTTTCTCCATTATCCTAATATTATCATTGTTTATTATTTTCTTTTATAGTCTTTGTAACTAAGATGATGTAGTTTGATTCTGTTGCTGTGTGTCTTGATTACTGTTAGTTACTATGAAGAGACTCTATGACCAAGGCAACCATTACTTTTTTATTCATTTTTTAAAAAGATTCATTCATTTATTTGTTTATTATGTATACAGTATTTTGTCTGCATGTATGCCTGCAGGCCAGAAGAGGGCACCAGATCTCATTACAGATGGTTATGAGCTACGTGGTTGCTGGCATTGAACTCAGTACCTCTGAATAGCAGCAGCCAGGGCTCTTAACCGCTGAGCCATCTCTCCAGCCCCCAAGGCAACCATTATAAAGTTTTTAATTTCGGGACTTGTATGATTATTATGGTGGGAAGCTAGAGCAGTAGCTGTGATCTTTTCATCCTGATCCTCAAGCAACTGACAGAAAGACAATGAGTTGGTATAGGCTTTTGAAAGCTCAAAGCCTGCTCCTAGTGACACCCTCTTCACCAAGGTCTACTTCCTAATCCTCCAAAATACTTGACTGAGGACAAGAATTCCCATTCAACCACTGCACTGATTAAATACTCTGAATAGAATGGGCTTGAAAAGGTTTATTTGGCCTACACTCCTAAGTCACAGTTCATTACTGAAGGTATTTAGTACAGGAACTCATGCAGCCCCCCTCCTTCCACATCAATCTAAAAATTTCTCACAGTCATGGCCACAGGCTAATCTCTCAATTGAGATTTTTCTCAAATGACTTAAGTTGTCAGTTGACAACTGATGCTATTTAGGATAGAAGAGATTTTTGAATTGCATTTCCTTGATGGATCAGGGTGTCAAATTTTCCACGTTGGCCATTTGTATACCATTTATGCTTGGGTTTTCTTCATTTTAAAACCAGACTGTTATTTGAGTTCTTTGTAATAGATTCTGAAAAGTAACCTCTTGTTAATGTGCATTTTAAAAAGTGTTCAAAGATGGGTGTTTGGTACAAGTTTATAATCTTGGCATTAGGAAGGTGAGGCAGGAGGATCAGGAGGAGTTAAGGATCCTCAGCCACATGGCGACTTTTTTTTTAATTAATTAATTTATTTATTATGTATGCAATATTCTGTCTGTGTGTATGTCTGCAGCCAGAAGAGGGCACCAGACCTCTTTACAGATGGTTGTGAGTCACCATGTGGTTGCGGGGAATTGAACTCAGGACCTTTGGAAGAGCAGGCAATGCTCTTAACCACTGAGCCATTTCTCCAGCCCCACATGGTGACTTTTGAGGCCAACTTGAAACACATGAAATTTGTCTCTAGAAAAATAGTTCTCTAAGCCAGGCGGTGGTGGTGCACGCCTTTAATATCATCACTCCGGAGGCAGAGGCAGGCGTATCTCTGTGAGTTCGAGACCAGCCTGGTCTAAAAGAGCTAGTTCCAGGACAATCTCCAAAACCACAGAGAAACCCTGTCTTGAAAAAACAAAAACAACAACAACAAAAAAAGAAAAATAGTTCTCTAGATTACCCTCAAGTTTCTATGAGGAATGGTGGCCCGAGGGTTGCCTCTCTAGCACTAAGAGAGTTGTGAAGAATGTATGTGTTAAATGGCATAATTAAATGCTTTCTCAATTAACATAGGCTTCAAAATGCAATCTAACAAGGATTCAAACTAACCGTCTAATTCTCAAATTTGTACCTGTAGTTGATTTTGTTTTTTTTTTTTTCGACACAGGGTTTCTCTGTAGCTTTTGGAGCCCGTCCTGGAACTAGCTTTTGTAGACCAGGCTGGCCTTGAACTCACAGAGATCTGCCTGCCTCTGCCTCCCAAGCGCTGGGATTAAAGGCGTGCACTACCATTGTACCTGTACCACTGTAGGCTGTTCCTGTAGTTGAAAGTGACTTTCAGTGGCTTAGGTATGATAGACCCATCTCTCTTAGTGTGTGAATACCTGTTTTCACCCTTTATTTCCTGACGTTAAACCCTTTGGTGATGGGTTTTTAAAGTTCATAGTTTATCGTTACCATAAAAGTTTTTTTTACTGATATTTGATCTCGCCACTCACCTACTCAGTAAGTTTGTGTTTTCTCTTATAAAGACTGACTATAGAAGTCTTTCATGGATCTGCTTTTAGGGTAACTGATTCATGGGCTCAGGATGTTGTCTGTGAGGACTCTTCCATTGTTGAGTCCTGCATTTACTTTTCCCTATGTGCTGGAGATGCATATGTGACCATGTTTTGGAATTTGCTAGTACACTTTAGAATATAATTTAACATGGTTTATTGATACATAAAATTTTTATTTTTTATGTATATGTGTTTAATTTTTGGTTATATATGTATGTGTGTATGTCTAGTTGTGTGTATATGTGAGTGTAGGTGTCAAAGGAGGCCTGAAGAAGGCACCAAATCTGGAGCTGGATTTAGAGGCAGTTGTGAACCCCCTGATGTGGGTGCTTAGCCAGGGCTGAGAGTTTGGCATAGCTTTCATCTTCATTTGCAGAGTTGTGAACAGTTTCTCTGACTTGCACACATGTATGACACCCGTTTGTGTGTGTTGTACTTTCTGTCTATAATTAAAATTCCGTCCCCCTTTTTTTTGTTTGTTTGTTTGTTTGTTTTTTGTAGTACTGGCTGTTCTGAAACTCGATGTGTAGACTAGATTGGCCTGGAACTCACAGAGATTCACTTGCCTCTGCCTCCTGATTGCTGGGATTAAAGGTGTGCGCCGCCATGCTTGGCAGCACAATAACTAAACATTTTTATTTTTGTCTGTGTGCATGGGCATGTGCACCACCCATGTAGAGGTCAGATTTCCTACCGCGGTACTGGGGATGACTTTGAGTTTGTCAGCCTTGTCATCTCCTGCAGAAACGTCATGCCAGCCTTGAACAAAGTCACTTTTAAGCATATATAGTATAAGTAAACTTCCTTTATCCTTATATCAATGGTTCCCTTTTCTTAAATCTGAACTGCCGTTATTTTACATTTCTTCCATTGTAGTGTTTGTGGTTGAACCCAAAACCTTCTTTATGTTAAGCAAGCATTCTATCACAAGCTGTGTCCCAGCCTGGTGAACATCTTTTTGTATCATGTAATATAGCTTAGACTGAAGGAAAATAGGAATAGCATTGATACTTCATTTTGACTGGCGTATCACTCTTAAAAAATTTCAGTGATTTTTTTTAAACTTTGTATGTATATGTGTGTGTGTGTGTGTGTGTGTATGAGTGGAGGTCCTAGTGTGTGTGTGTGAGTGGAGGTCCAAGTGTATGTGTGTGTATGAATGGAGGTCCGAGTGTGTGTGTGTGTGTGTATGTGTGTGTATGAGTGGAGGTCCGAGTGTGTGTGTGTATGAGTGGAGGTCCTAGTGTGTGTGTGTGAGTGGAGGTCCAAGTGTGTGTGTGTATGAATGGAGGTCCGAGTGTGTGTGTGTGTGTGTGTANAGTGTGTGTGTGTATGAATGGAGGTCCGAGTGTGTGTGTGTGTGTGTGTATGAGTGGAGGTCCAAGTGTGTGTGTGTGTGTGTGTGTGTGTATGAGTGGAGGTCCGAGTGTGTGTGTGTGTGTATGAGTGGAGGTCCGATTGTGTGTTTGTGAGTGGAGGTTCGAGTGTGTGTGTATGAGTGGCGGTCTGAGTGTGTGTGCGTGTGTGTGTGTGTGTGTGTGTATGTGTGTATGAGTGGAGATCTGAGGACAAATTTTGGAGTCCGTTCTCCCACTATGTGAGTTCTGTGGTCATCGGGATTGAAGGCAGGTGCCTTTACTCACTGAGCCATCTTAACAGCCCAAAGTATTGTCTATTGTGATATTGATAGTGTATATTTTTATAGTACCAAGAGGCTATCTTCATATACTTTATACAGTGCTAGCTTAGTTTCCAAGCCTTTCTAATTAATTTGAGTTTAATTCTAAAATGGAGTTTTCTACTTGTCTGTAAGACTGAAGATGGACTTAGTAAAGGCTCTTTTTTTCTTTGTTAGGCGCAGATTTGATCTTCAGAATCCATCCCGAATGGATCGTAATGTTGAAATGTTCATGAACATTGAAAAAACGTTGGTACAAGTAAGTAGGAGAATTGGGCCTTGTCCCTTCCCCTTCGCCTTCTTCTTTCTCCTTCCTCGTTTTCCTCTTGTTCTTTCCCTTCTCTCATGTTTTAGGTAGGGCTTCTTTAGGCCCAGACTGGCCTACAGACCCTGCTTCAGTAGCACCCATTCCTGAGTTAGGTGCTTGAGTCACTAGCTCAGGTTGAGGTTTTACTTTATTCTTAATATATACACTTCAGTTCTAAGATTGTCTTTATTGGATTGCCAAAAGATTAAAGGAATTTTCTGAAATCTTATTGTGTGTGTGTGAGAATTAGAGCTGTAATTCATCTGATCGTTTAAAGACAATCAGTCTCTTACTATTTTTCTTTTCCTATTTTTGAGACTGTGCCTGTTTAGTCCTGGCTGTTCTAGAACTCACTGTGTAGATCAGGGTGGCCTTGAACTCACAGATTCTTCCTGCGTTCCAAGTGCTGGATTAAAGGCCTGTGCCACCATACTCAACTGGTGTCGGACATTTTTGGTGAAATAATGTGCTATTTCTATTTATTTCATTTATTATTCAAGCCAGTTTTTTCATAATGGAGCCCTAGTTGACCTGGAACCATAGAGCTTCCGCTGCCTCTGCCTCCTGCGTGCTAAAGAAGTGCCTTGTGCTGTTGTTTCTCTACCACAATGTTGGCTTTACGGAGTCATTTTCTTTTGATATGTTCCATGGTTGTATAATAAATGGCTACTTTCCTCTCAGCTAGATTATAATTTGGATGCAAAGATGCTTTATTTTCTTTTTTTTTTTTTCCTTTTTTTTTTTTTTTTTTTTTTTTTTTTTTTGGTTTTTTTGAGACAGGGTTTCTCTGTGGCTTTGGAGCCTGTCCTGGAACTAGCTCTGTAGACCAGGGTGGTCTCGAACTCACAGAGATCCGCCTGCCTCTGCCTCCCGAGTGCTGGGATTAAAGACGTGTGCCACCATCGCCCGGCTAAGATGCTTTATTTTCTATTTCCATTTTCTCTTATTTTTATTTTTTGGTTTTATGGTGCTGAGGATGGAACCCAGGGCCATGGACTAGGCGAACAGTGTACCACTGATAGATATTTTCACCCCATGGATTTTTGTTGTTGCTGTTATTTTGTGTGTGCCTCCCCCTTTTTCCTTTTCTCTTTTTTTTTTTTTTAAATATTTATTTATTATGTATACAATATTCTGTCAGTGTATATGCCTGCAGGCCAGAAGATGGCACCAGACCCCATTACAGATGGTTGTGAGCCACCATGTGGTTGCTGGGAATTGAACTCAGGACCTTTGGAAGAGCAGGCAATGCTCTTAACCTCTGAGCCATCTCTCCAGCCCTCCTTTTCTCTTTTTGAGACAGTTTTTCTGGGCTAGAGCAGTTGTTCGAGTGCTCTTCCAGAGGACCCAAGTTTAATTCCCATCACCCACGTGACAGCTTACGACTGTCTGTAACTCTAGTTCTCAGGGATTTGATACCCTCACGCCAATAAACAAAATCAAATATATTATTTAAAAAAAGAGAGAGAGGGTGTTTCCTTGTAGTCTTTAGAACTCTAGACAACAGGCTGGCCTTGAACTCACAGAAATCTGACTTCCTTTGCCTCCCAAGTGCTGGGATTAAACCTGCACCTCCACTTCCCTGACTGAGAAGTTGGTTTTTGTGTATGTGTATAATTATGAGTGAGAGAAAACTTGGGGAGTCAGTTCTTTCCATGTTTATGTGGGTGCTGGGGATGGAACTCAGATTGACACAGGCTTGCACAGCTCACAGTTTCATGTGCTGAACCATCTCACTACACTAGCCCTCACCTAATTTTTTAAAAAAGATTCTGTTTTTGTTTTATGTATTTGAGTGTTTGCCTGTTTGTATGATTGAGTTCTCTGGAATAACATCTGAGACATCTCTCTACCTCCCCTTGTTGAGATACGCTCTGTCATTGAACCTGGTCCTCAGCCATTTTGGCTAGTACCTGGCCAGGAAGCTCAATAGGATGACAGCTTTTCTATTGTGCTTCAGAGACATCAGCTTGGTCCACATGTGTGCTCCTACTCTCAGCTTCTGTGGGGGACTGGGCATTCAAAACCAATTCCTTGTGTGTACACAGAGCTTTACCCACTGAATCTTCTCCCCGACCTTTGTTTGTATGTATGTATGTATGTATGTATGTATGTATTTATTGTGGTGGTTGGGGTTGAGACAGGGTCTCATCATGTAGCTCTGGCGTCCTGGATCTCACTGTGTAGACCAGTGCTAGGAGTGGAGGCCCAGTGCTTCTGACCTTGAAATTGGTAATAGTGATTGTCAGAAGTAGTTGTTTAGCTGCAGAAGGGTTTTGGGGAGGATTTTAAGTAGCCTCCTAAGCCATCTTGGTTTTATTTTGAGATAAGACTATCATATTGTGTATCAAAAAATGTCTTCCAAGATGGGCATGGTGGACACACCTTTAATCACAATACATGGGAGGCAGAGGCAGGCAGATGAGAGTTTCAGGATAGCCAGGGCTACACAAACCCTGTCTCAACGAAAAAGCAAAAAACAAAACAAAAAAAAAAAGATGTCTTCCTATCTTAAGAAATGAAGATTTGAGGGGGCTGGAGAGATGACTCAGAGGTTAAGAGCATTGCCTGCTCTTCCAAAGGTCCTGAGTTCAATTTCCAGCAACCACGTGGTGGCTCACAACCATCTGTAATGGAGTTTGGTGCCCTCTTCTGGCCTGCAGGCATACACACAGACAGAATATTGTATACATAATAAATAAATAAATAAGCTAATTAATTAATTAATTAATTAAAAAAAAGGAATGAAGATTTGAAAGTCAAGTTCAGCCATTAAGGTAATGTGTAGTCAGGGATCTGTGAGATAGCTTAGTGGGCAGCACTTGCTACCAAGACTGGGGACCGGAGTTCAGTCCCTAGTCCCCACATATTTGTCTGATGACTTCATGTGTGCCATTGGTAAGCAATTTTCACATATATTTAAAAAAATAAAATGTAAGGATGATGAATAGTCAGTGTACATACCATTTCAGAACTGTTTGAATTTCAGTCTGTCTTTTTGTTTTCTCAGAACAATTGTCTGACTAGACCCAACATCTACCTCATTCCGGACATTGATTTGAAGTTGGCTAATAAATTGAAAGATATCATCAAACGGCACCAGGTAATAACCATGATCACTTCAGTGTAGGGTAGTTAACTTTTTAATGCCGAAATTTGCACTTTATGTGTGTCTGCTTTACAGGAAAGGTTTGTCTTGAGTTTTTGCATCCCCTGTAGGAGCTCAGGAGTCAGTGGGATAAGTTATGCTCGTCTTAGGTGATTACTTGCGTACTTCAGTGGCCCATATAATCTCTAACTCAGAACCTGCAAGGTCACAAAAGAGAGTTGGTAGCAAGCTTATTGCTTGCAGGAGGTGAAATGTACGTTAGCCTCCCCCCCGTCCAGCCAAATGTATTTATGTATGTCTTCTTTGTAAAACAAGTAGAAAAATTCAGGTTTCATGGATTGCTTGATGGCACAAGTATGCTTGAATGCATAGAATGCATGCCCCTGGATATTGGAGGCTACTTGAGTGTGGGGCTTCAAGACCAACTGAGGCAGTATAGCAAGATTGTCCACTGCTGTTGGTGTTTTCGTCATCTTACTTCATTTTAGGCTGTTTTTTTTTTCCTTTTTTCTTTTTCCTGTAATGCTAGTTTTTTACCACAGTGAAACCTGTGATAGCCGAGAATATCTAGGCACAAAATAATTTTCTGCAAAACATTTCTTTGATAGTGTTTTACTGAGATCTAGAATTGGTTAAGAAGCCTCATGAAATACCTTCTTTTTTCAGCTGCAAAAATTAATAACATTTGAAATGTCTTATATTTTAGTAAAATATTTATAATCCATAAAAGCAAATAGTTTGTTTTAGTTTATGCATAAAGTTTCCTCTATATAATTACAAATGTTGTTGTCTTTCCTGCATGTAACATGCTTTCCAAAGATACAAATAGTCTAACTCAGTGTAGTGTATAAATAGTACAGCTTGCCGAGCGGTGGTGGCGCACGCCTTTAATCCCAGCACTTGGGAGGCAGAGGCTGGCAGATCTCTGTGAGTTCGAGGCCAGCCTGGTCTACAGAGCTAGTTCCAGGACAGGCACCAAAGCCACAGAGAAACCCTGTCTCGAAAATAAAAAAAAAAAAAAGAAAAAAGAAAAGTAAATAGTACAGCTTGTTGTTGGGTGGGGTGGTGAGTTCCTTCCTTGTAGAACAAGCGTTACTGCTTTCAACAGATCTAAGCCTTTCTCTTTTGGGTGTCTGTTACATCATAGTCAAGTGCAACTTAGCTTCATGTGCTTGTTAAGGGCAGAAATAGAATAACATGTTTGTTCTTGCCTTTAAGCTGAAGTTAGGAATTTTTACAAATTTTACTGGAGGTAATGCTTACTTATTTCTAATGTTTATTGTGACTAGTTTATTCATTAACAAATAAGAACACAATTGAGAGAAATAGTAGCATTTCTAGCTGGTTTCATAAAGTCTTCTAGTGCTGCTGGAGTTCAAAACCAGGGAGGGCTTTATATGTCTCTTGTATTGGAGTATTATCTAGCTCCAGACCTGGTTTCATAGAATTGCAGAGAATCCATCTCAGGAGTCATAGTATTGTCATTGAACACTAATCACAACTTCACTGGGACATTTTAAATGAGTTAACGACTCACATGGAATCTATCTTATTTATTATCTATTTATTTATTTGAGGCAGGTTCTTACTGTGTAGCTCTTGCTGGTTTGTAGATGAGGTTGGCCTTTAACTCACTGATATCTGCCTGCCTCTGCTTCTTGAGTACTGGAATAAAAGACATATGCCATTGAGACAGGCTTACTTATTATTTATTTAAAATGTATGCATGTGAGAGCACCTGTTGAGGTCAGAGGGCATCAGATTTCATGGAACTGCTAGCTGGGAACCAAGGTCCATTGTAAAATTAGAGGGCACCCTTAACCTCTGAACCATCTGTCAAGCCCCAAAATATTCTATTTTTTTCTTTCCTTTTTGTTTTTTTTTTTATTTGTTTGGTTTCTTTGTTTTTGTTTTTTTGAGACAGGGTTGATCTGTATAATAGCCCTGGATGTCACTCTGTAGATCAGTCTGAGTTCCAACAAAAGTCTTAAGAGAGAGCCAGGCCGGGCAGTGGTGGCGCACGCCTTTAATCCCAGCACTCAGGAGGCAGAGACAGGCGGATCTCTGTGAGTTCGAGACCAGCCTGGTCTACAGAGCTAGTTCCAGGACAGGCTCCAAAGCCACAGAGAAACCCTGTCTCGAAAAACCAAAAAAAAAAAAAGAAAGAAAGAAAGAAAGAAAGAAAGAAAAGAAAAGAGAGAGCCATTGTTTGTTACGCCTTTTAATGCTGGAGAGATGTCTCAGTGGTTAAGAGCACTTGTTCTTGTAAAGAACCTTTAATCCCAGCACTTGGGAGGCAGAGGCAGGCAGATCTCTGAGTTTGAGGCCAGCCTGGTCTACAAGAGCTAGTTCCAGGACAGGCCCCAAAGCTACAGAGAAACCTTGTCTCAACAAGCTAAAAAATAAAATAATAATAATAAAAAAGAACCTAGATTCAGTTTTCTGCAACCGCACAGTAGCTCACAACTGAAGTTCTATTCTGATTTCTGTGGGCACCATGCACACACCATTGAAAGACAGATACAGGCAAAACATTCATACATAAACAAATCATGAGACTGGAAAAAAGCTCAGGTTAATAGTACTGGTAGTTCTCTAGAGGACCCCCATTTGATTTCTAGCGCTCACATGGCATCTCACATTCTTGTTTCTTCAGTCCTAGGGTATCCAACACCCTCTTCTGGCCTCCCTAAGCACCAGGCACCCAGGTGGTATACAGCTATACACGCAGGCAAAACACCGATACACATAAAATAAAATTTCTTACTCCACAGACGACATGCACAGAATACCTTGCTGTGCCATCTAAATAGTAGCAAACCACAGAGCTGAGGTTCGAGGCCCAGGGACAGGTTCCACAGGGCAAGGTTCTATCGTATATTGTGACTCATACTCATGGACATTGGTACTCCTTTCCCACCCGTGTGATGGCTACTCAAAACCCTCCATCAGTAGTACAGTTATCGTGAGGTTTTTATCTTATGAGGCAGATAACTATTTAAGCTAGTGCTAAATTTTTTTACTTATCTGGTTTTCTATAGATGAAGTGGCATTATGTTTCTTGGATTGAAATAATGAGTAAATAATTGTTAAAGGAGAATTTCAGAGGACGCCTTGAGTTGCTACTTAAAACTGAATGCATGACTTTTTCTTGTTTGTATGTAAGCAGTTGTTAGTCTAAATGTCTTTGAGTTCATGTTCTAGATATATTTAGTAGTCTTTGGCCTAGCTATAGCCTTAATTTTTGTAGTAGATTTCCAACATTGATGTAAAATGGCAGGAACATGTATAATGTACACCGTGCTTGATCTGGTGTCCCGTAGGTACCAGTTTACTTGCCAAAATTCATGTCGGTTAATAGAGGTCATTTGTGCTGGACAGCTAAGGCAAGAAGACGAAGAGTTTGAGACTCGGCTATACACTTGAACCCTGGGGTTTTTGTTTGTGTTCTTGATTGTTTTAGTAAGGCAGTGTCAAAGTAGCTAGACTAGCTTCAAACTTATTGTTGCATGATGACCTTCAAGTCTCTAGCTTCCTGTTTCCCAACTTCTCAGGTTAAACGTCTAGCTAAAACTTTATAATTTTGCAAGGTAAATACATATTACAGTTATCCTTATGTGGTTGCATTTCCACACTCATTTTTTATGATGGTTTTGAAAGAATTTGAAGAACTTCAGGTATGCTTATGTTGGTAAGATACTCAACACTTTGAATGCTAATAAACCCCTCAAAAATGTTTGAGGTTTTTTGTTTTTTAATTAATCCCAAACCAAGAGAATTCCTTGGTTTTGGATTAATGATAGTTGATACAATTCTATACAAATAGTCCCAAATCTGAAAAACTTGAAACACTTGAGGCACAGAGCATTTTGGATGAGAATATGCAGTCCTTACACATATGTGTAAACAATATTTTCTGTTGTTAACCACTATTTCTTTTCTTGACTAAAAATTATTTTTAAAACCCAGTGCTTTTATATTTCTTAGAAAATTTGCATCCAGCATCTAATAGTTTGCTTGCCATGTGCCTTATTTCTCTGTCACTTGTTTGCTTACTTTGCAGGGGACATTTACTGATGAAAAGTCAAAAGCTTCCCACCATATTTATCCATGTCCTTCCTCACAAGAGGATGGTAAGTTAGCTTTATATATTGTATTGTAATGTTTAAATAAGTAGCTTTCTTGTAAAAAATGGCTAAATATGCCACCATTAAAACCTAGAGTCCTGCCAGGCGGTGGTGGCGCACGCCTTTAATCCCAGCACTCGGGAGGCAGAGGCAGGTGGATCTCTGGGAGTTCGAGGCCAGCTTGGTCTACAAGAGCTAGTTCCGGGACAGGCACCAAAGCTACAGAGAAACCCTGTCTCGAAAAAACAAAACAAAAAAAACCCCCTAGAGTTCTTTGTTTTGTTTATTGTATCACTTGCCCTGCATGTGTTAGTCTGAATATATCATTTGATTCTTTTAGAAAGTAAGATTTTACCTGTGCTGCTCAGTGCTCTAACCAGTTAGACATGTTCTAATGTAGCAGTGTTTAAAGATTTATTTATTATGGTGAGCTCATAGAGGCAAGAGGACCAGAGGGACAATGTGTGTGAATTAGTTTTTGCCTGTGAGGCAAGAGTATGGGTTGCCTGACCCATCCAACTTGAATACCCACTCTTAACATTAAAGTGATGGTGTAGCACACATTCATGTTGGCTATGAATCGAAATTCTTCCTCAGTCTCCCAAATGCTGCTTTGTAGGATTATTGATTTGCTTAATAGTATTCATAAATTCCTAGAGTTCTTCACTTTAGTCCTTTAACTTTATTTGATTGGATATTTCAAGTAACTTATCATAAACTTCTCATGTTCTGTTTGAGCATGCCTGTTAAAAATTTATTTATTTTCTGTGTATGATTTTTCTTCCTACATGTACACCTTTAAATCAGAAGAGGGCATTAGATCCCAGATGGTTGTGAACCACCATGTGGGTGCTGGGACTTGAACTCTGGAAGAGTAGCCAGTGCTCTTAACTGCTGAACCATCTCTCCAGCACCCCAAACAATTAATTTTTAAGTTCATTGGTGTCTTTTCTGTTCTTTAATATCTTAGGATTCTTTGGTTTTATTTATTTCTGTAATTTTATTACTTTTATACTAGATAGCGTTTAGACAGGGTTAGAACTCACTATGTAGACCAGGCTGGCCTGAGAACTGCCTGCCTCTGCCTCCTGAGGACTGGGATAAAAGTCTTGCACCAGGCTTAACTTTTCACTTTGTTTGTTTATTATTTTGGCTTTTTCTCGACAGGGTTTCTCTGTGTAACAGCTCTAGCTGTCGTGAAACTAACTTGTAGACCAGGCTTTTTTTGTGTTTTGCCTATGTGTGTGTCTATATACCATGTGCATGCAGTGTCTGCAGGAGCCATCTGGGCCTCTGGGACGAGAGTCACAGGGTTGTGAGCCATCTTGTAGGTTCTGGAAATCTAACCTGGGTCCTCTGGAAAAGCAACCAGTACTCTTAACCAGTAGCTCCTGTTGGTGGTTCTTTTTGTTTTCTTTTTGGAGTCGGGGTCTCACTGAGTAGTACCTGTGTGTGGCCTTTGAACTTGGCTATGGCTGGCTTAGGTTTTTTATTTTCTTTAGAATTGTTTTAGGTCCTTTTGTTTTCTCCAGCTCTGGTTTTGGTACATTTCTCTTTCTATCATTTAATTGATTGAGACAGTTACACAGAGAAATTGACTATCCTGGAACTTGTTTTGTAGACCAAGCTGGCCTTGAACTCACACAGTTCCACCTGCCTCTGCCTTCTTCAAGCTGGATTGGATTAAAGGCATGTGCCACCATGCCTGGCTTGGTACATTACAAAAAACAGAAACAAAAAACCCCATGTTTAAAAATCAACAACAACAACAACAAAAAGCCCATGTTTCTCAGTTTGTATAAAGTTTTGGATAGTGGAAAAACATTCCATTCTTAAGTAATTCCATTTAGTGGTTCTTTTCTACATTCTTAATGAGGTACAATTTCTATCCTTTCCGTGATTTTTTTTTTCAGTTAAAATGTTAATATATAGCTGGACGTAGTGAGTGGTACATACCTTAATCCCTGCACTTGAGAAGCAGAGGCAGATGGCTCACCGGAAAAAAAATTTATATATGTTTATTATATACACATGTGCTTTTGGGTGCATGGAGGGAGATCAGAGGACAACTTGTGGATGGAGTTCTCTTGTTATTATATGTGGGTGTATGCATATCACTATCAGAGGATGTTGTGTGGAAGTTGGTTTTCTTTTCCCACCATGTGAGTTTCAGCTATCAAGCTCATGTTCTGAGTCTTGGCTGCAAATGCCTTCATCAGCTTTAGGAGTGCTGACTCCGTCTTCAAATGTGTGCCCCTTTAGAACAATAGGAACAAAAGGTAGCCACTGTCAGGGCTGATTTGGGTAGTAGAATTTTCAGCAGTGAAGCCTGTGAAAAATTTCCTAATGGCAAAAGTAATAGCTGTGTAGACATGTAAATATACATTTTTTTTTTTTCTTTTCTAGACAGGGTTTCTCTGTAGCTTTGGAATCTGTCCTGGAACTAGCCCAGGCTGGCCTTGAACTCACAGAGATCCTCTGCCTCCCAAGTGCTGGGATTAAAGGCATGCACCACCACTGCCCGGAGTAAATCTACATTCTTTATGTATAAGATTTAACCTTAAAGACATATGACTAATAATTGAAAAAAGCCAAATTTAAACCAGCACAATCTTTGAAGATAGATTGAGTATTCCTACAGCAATTTTTACTGTTTTTAGAGAATCCAGAAGTTTGTTGGAAGTAGTTCAGTGTTTGAAGGTATTTGTTGACAAGACTCGACCTGAGTGCAATCCCTGGGATCCATCTGGTAGAAGACGACAACCAGCACCCACGTGTTGTCTGTGATAGGGCTGTGCATTGCTTTTAGACCAATAGGAGGAGCACATGAGGAAGTTGCTGGTGTACATATACGCACATGACAGTCGGAGATAGGCTTCAAGTGTCTTTCTTGATCAGTTCTACTTTTTTAGAAAGATTCATATATATATATGGTATATAAGTATCATATATATATATTTAAAGATAGGGCTTCTTTGTGTAACCTTGGCTGTCTGGAATTTGTTCTGTAGATCAGGCTTGTAAGTGGAGGTTTCTTTGTCCTACCCATCCTGTAGCATTTCTAAATCACACAGAGGCTTAATATTAATCACAAACAATTTGGCCCTTAGTCTATACTTATTTGTAATTAGCGGTTAACATTAAATTAACGCATGTCTATTCATCTAAGTATTGCCACATGGCCATGACTTTTCTGATCTGATGGTACGCTCTCTCTTGAGTGGTTGACTGCCATCTCCCCAACTCCACCCTTTTTCCCTTTCCCTCTATTTTCAGTTTGGCTTTACCCCCTGCCATTAAAAGCCTTGCTGTAGGCCAAAGCAGCTTCTTTATTAACGAATGGGATAAAATCTTTTCACAGCATACAGAAGGGTTATCCCACAGTACAGGCTGGCCTCCAACACAGAGATCTGCCTGCCTCTGCCTCCCTAGTGCTGGGATTAAAGGTGTGCGCCATCACTGCCTGGCCCTTAAGATTTATTTTTCGTTGTGTGTGTCCATATGGGAATATGTGCATGTAAATATAGAGCCTTCAGTGGTCAGAAGAAGGTATTAGGTCCCCTAGAGCTGGAATTACATTGGGTTTGTTGTGAGCTTCCCAGTGTGAGTGCTGGGAACTGAACTCTTAATATCCTCTGCAAGAACTGAATATTATTCTGATCTTGCTTGCTCCTCATTTATTCAGCCCCTTGTCCTTATTTTTTGAATCATTTAATGAGCTTGTAGTTCCTCTTTAGTAGACAAGACTAGCTGACCAATGAACTTCAGCGACCTGCCTGTCTCCACTCACCCAGTGCTGGAGATACAGATGCACACCACGACACTCAGCTTTATTACTTATTTTACTTTTTGTGTGTGAATGTTTTGCCTGCACGCATGTATGTGCACCTTGTGTGTGCCTATTGGAGTCCCTGGAACTCGGTTTATAGATGGTTGTCAGGCACTTTACAGGTCCTGGCAGCAAGCCTGGGTTATCTGCAAAGTCAACATGTGCTCTTGACTGCTAAGCGCTGGGATCTAAACTTGGTCCTCAAGCTTTGGTGTTGAATCCTTTATTGACTAGCTATTTCCCCAGCTCCAAAAACGTCCCTTTAATCTGTTTGAAAACTTAAAACTTGCAGTAGGAGAGATGGCTGAATAGTTCAGAGCACTTACTGCTTTTGCAAAGAACCAGACTTAGGTTCCTGGTACCTACATGTATAACCTCAGATTGCATCTGACATCTGCACTCCTGCACACATGGAGTGTACATACGTGATCCTTGGGACACACACATGCATAAAGTTAAATATTTTTCTTAAAATTCTACATAAATCTAGTTCTTATTTTGGCATTTCATCAGTTGAACTAATTTTTTTTTTCTTCTTTCAGAAGATTGGTTGAGACCAGTGATGAGAAAAGACAAGCAGGTGTTAGTACACTGGGGCTTTTACCCAGACAGGTAATCAATGTTTAACACTGTTACTTTAGTTGTTCATATTTATCTTGACAAAACATATATGCCCACAGGGCATAAAGAAGAAATTTATTAGCATTTCCATCTCTTTGTTGTTGTCGTCTTTTTTTTTTTTTTTTTTTTTTTGAGACAGGGTTTCTGTATGTAACCTTGACTGTACTAGAACTTTCTCTGGTAGACCAGGCTGACCTCTAACTCACAGATATGCCTGCTTCTGCCTCCCAAGTGCTGGGATGAAAATGTTTTCTCTTTCCCTGCTTCTTTTATTCTTTTTCTCTTATTTTCTTTTTT